CACTTAGACTATCAGTAATAGAATAGATATATTATTGTAGAAGATCCATACTATAAATTATAATGCAATAATGAAAATGAATAAATTATTACTATGTGGAATATATACTGAATCTGGGACATGCAAAGGTTAAAACACTCAGTAATGGGAAAGCTAGGAAATATTGTTCTACAGAATCATTAAGAATCTGGATTAACTGAAGGGCTCACAAAAACACAGAGAATATGAAGTAGCATGGATAAATCTCACAAATATAATGTATTTTGTAAGAAAAGTTATATACAAAGCAATATTTCTATTATTATTATTATTATGTGTGTGTGTGTGTTGTCAAATCAGATCTGACTGTCTGACTGGGACAGGAGATTATCCCTCCTTCTCCAGCAAAGCATATAGTGTATTCAAATTGTGCAACATATTTATTGAAGAATTCAATTTATATTTCACTCAAAACCAGAGAAAATGAAATTATGATTTTAGAGGTCAAGACAGTGGTTTCCTCTGGCAACAAGGCAGTACTTGGAAGGGAGTTTAAGAATAAAAGCAACGGAAGTTATAATCTTTCTCAATCAGATTGAAATGAACTTTACATAGGTATTTGCTTTGTGAAAATTCATTGAAATACATGATTATTTTGTGTACATTACCAGAATAATTTCATATTTAATGAAAACAAACCCAATTTCAAATTTTGCTGATTATATCACTATCTTAATATTTTTTAATCTGTAAAATCCCAAATTACTATTCAGTTTTTTCCCCATCATGCATAATTTAAACATAATCAATAACATAAAATGACCAAATTTAATCAGCATATTATCGAGAGTGTTTTCTTTGGATCACTTCTGCTTAAATTCCAGGTGCTTAAAGATTTTTCAGGGAGCTTTTTGAAAATGCAGGTCTCTGTCTTTAGAAATCATGGCTCATGATGTCTTCAGTGATTTGCAAGGCATTTACCCTTTAAAATCACTGAGTAGGGCTGTCTCTTTGCTCAAATATCTTTGACATTGAGTTTTCAAACACATATTCATAGTAGTCTTTGTTTTTTTAACTCCAAGTGCTTGTGAAGATTCTAATAAAGCAGTGTCACCTTCCAGAGTATTCTTTTAGTTAGCACCAGACCTTTGGTACTTTAAGAGGGTATCCATGGATAAAGCCTTGAT